CTTTTATAGGGGGTCTGTTAACCCAGAATGAAGTAGAGGAGTTAGTTTATATCAACAGAAAAAAGCTGCCAAAGCCATACTCACTGGTGGAAAGGGAATATTTGATCATAAGATGAACAGTGGAAGTGATTCAATGAAAAATGCTAATTGTTGATCACAACCTTTGGTTAACATGACTAAACAGAACAAAGGTCCTATATGCAAGTGATTGTGTCTCATGCTGCAGCCATATGGTTTTAAGTGGTGCAGCAGTAAGGTGAATTTATACAAGGCGCAAGGTTTCTTTATCTAGAAATGGAGAAGTTTAAAGTAGGAATTAAAATAAAAATGTGGCTTTAATCGGTATTTGAGCACTGACATCATTACTTTCCTCTTACATTCCATTCTGTTTGTACCATTCTACTTGCTATTCATTCTAGGATCTCCAAGTGCTTCATAAACATTAATTGATTAAAGTTTCAAAACTGTGAGAGGAGCATTGTAAGTAATTAAAAATAGTTACCAGGCTTAACGTTCCTCTCTCTTTCTCTCATAGCAGTGGCAGTCGTTTTAATGTAGTAAGATTATGGCTATGTGAAATTAGAGCAGACTTTTATAGGCCTTGAAGTGTCTGTGTAGACAAAGTAACATTTAATTTGCAAGGTTATGCTTTGAAACCCTTTTAAAGACTCGTTAGGGTTTTTATATTTTTGTAAGGCTTGCAGAATTGCATACTTACATTTGAATGTGCCTCACCTAGATAAGTACCCTTTATGTGCAGGCATGAAGCCAGTTATCAGTGCAAAATTCAGGCAAGTGCAAATGCGTGCATGTATTACACATGCCTAGTGTTGAAAATTGGGCCCTATATCCACAGTTTGTATACAGAGAAATGGTTAGTCTGGTTAAAATATTTATTATCATGGGTAGAAGATAAAGTTTTAGAAATCTATTGCATGGGGTAAGTGGCCCATAATTCCCATTATGAATGCTAAATTATATAACATATGATTGTAAGAAATCTTTGTTTGAATTATTGAATATCTTCTGAAGCTTCCCAATTTAGAATTGTTCTTTGTTTTCTTGTTTTGTTCTGCGGGGAAAAATCCTCAATCCTAAATAGGGAAGGGGAAATTATCGTTATTTATTTGTAATATATAGTGCCTGACTGAGCTTACACATATACATAGTAAACGAAAAGTCCCTGCCCTAAACAGTTTATAACCTAAATAGACGAGACAGAGAAAGATGAGGGGTAGGGAAGTTTTATTATCCCAATTTTACAGATGAGGAACAGAGAGATTAAATGACTTGTCCAAAGACAGACCAGGTGGGTGAGGTAATATTTTTTTATTGGACCAACTTCTGTTGGTGAGAGAGACAAGCTTTTGAGCTACACTAAGCTGCTCTTCAGGTCTGAGAAAGGAACTCCCAGCATCAAAGCAAAATGCAAGGTGGAACTGTTACCCAGGGTTCTTTCAACCCAAAGCTTTTGGTAACTTTTACTCTGTCAGGAAATAAATCAGGGGAGACACGACCGTCCGACCAGATGGTTGGCACAAACAGGACGACGCAAGAGTGCTTTCACTTAAAGCTAAACTTTACTTAGTCTCAAGCACTTATACACATGTCCGCAACAGGTTTGTAAAACACCCCCAACCCTTGATAATTACCAAAGCTGAGTGTGGCTCTCGAGTGGCACAGTGGCAGCCCTTCTGCCGGTGGGGAACACAAGATGCATCCAGAAGGAGAGTCCAGTCCTGAAGAGTCCCACTGCCTCAAAATTTCCCCCCTTATTTATACATTAGTAATAGAATGACATGTCCCTTAAAGCAAACTTGTTAAGTAAGCAGTTTCAAGCAAGAGGTTCCTTCTGATTATCGATTAACCAGGTGTCGGTTTTTCCAGAGTTTGCAGCCTTGAGGTCCCAGTAGACATTCCTGGGGCACATCCTGCTCTTCTAAAATGCATAAATCAGCAACTTCAACACAATTCTTATCAGGAAGGATTTGGGATCAAGCTGCCCTCTCTGTGGCACCCCCCCGTCCTGCCTTGGTTAAACTGAGGCTGCTGAATGGCCAATTTATAGCCTGCTGACTTGGCTGCTTTTAGCAATAAGCCATAGTGGTTTCAGGCACTTTACTGGTTTGCCAAAGTCTCCCCGGTCAGAACAGATTGTTTAGCATAAGTAATTAGCACATATTGTATTATGATGTGGAACACAGTAGTTCTGCTGGCCCATAATTTGTTAGCAATTCAGAATTTCTGCTTATTTTTATCATTCTATTATATTTGTGCATTATGCTATTAAAGCTGACGTGATTGGTCACATAGATCATGTGGTATACTTGCGTTCTCTGATGAGATTAGTGTAACATGTAGATTCAGAATTCCAAAGTGAATAGTCACATTTACAAATTCACACTTGGCTTTCTGAAAACATTTTGTAATATTAATTTAGTTATTTCTGTGAAGCTTCCTGCCTGTAAACTCATCTTGTAGAATATTTATGGAAGTTGAACATATCGAAAGTAGAAAATGTGGTAAATTCATCTGAAAGTTCAGATGAATGTGTGGAATTTTTTGCAGTTTTAGTCCACCTTGATATTTAAGAATAGACATTTTTATACCCCTTTTAGGATACATTTATTCTCTGTATTTGCTGGAAAAATTAAACTAGTACTCTTTGTTGTCCTAGAATGCTTGTGAGAACAGAGTCAGGAATCAATTTTGGGAATTGCATTGAGGATTGCTATGGGAAAGGCCATTCATTTAGTGTCGAACCCGGTCAATGATTTTAGTGTCCAAGTCGGGACAGTCGAAAGAGTGCAGTTGCTCTATTGCTGCAGTGTTGGTCTGAGCAGGTTCAGGTGATAAGGGTGAACTTTGGTACAACAAACAGGCCAAAGAGAAAATTATTGGGTGTGTTTCTTTGTTCAGTGGTCACAGGTATTGTAATTTTCATCTTTCGTGTCAGGGTCTCTTTTTTCTCTCTGTTAGCTAATTGTGAACATCATAATGTCAAACAGGCAAAGAGAGAAGAGCTATCTCCCCCATTCAATTGCCCCTGAGCCCTCTAAACCTTATCCAGCTTATGGCTATTCTTTTCATTTAATCAAAACCAAGTGAGGGAACCTATGCTCAGCATAATCATATAGCACCCACCCTGCATTCTCAACGTTTGCTGCTACACATTGCTCAAATAGATTTTAGTTAGCAATCTTGGTTTTAAAGCCCTAAACTGTTCGTACGCTAGATCGTCTCCTTGAACCTTATGCCAGTGGATATTGGCTCTCAAACATCATCTGTCTTTTAAGGATATCACCATTACATGTGAAAGTTGTCTTTTTTTGGTGTGTCCACACCCATCTTGACATCCATCTTAGTCCATCTCTCCCTGTTTTGGCAAATCAAAACAGCATAAAACTTTTTATTAAAAATTTAAGTATTTATTATTATTTGAGTGCTCTTCATGGTAGAAAAGAAACAGGAATTGGAAGTATTGAATTGAAAGGAGATTACTTATGGAGGGCACTGGACACAGACCGATGCTTTAGTTCTCTCAGGTATTCCAAACACAGCCTGGTGTTGCCACACAGACGGAGAGGGTAAACCAGGATGTAAGACCCCTCCCCCGGGTGGCAAAAACTGGGCCTGAGGGGAGAGTGCAGATGCAATCCTGTCAGGGGACCCACAGAAGGCCAAACCAGTGAATGGCATGGGGCAGATTTGCTGCATGTGTTACGCTAATTCAGATACTTCTCCTGGTGAGAAGATAGTTGTGGAAACACCCTGTGATTTCCCCCCCACCCCAAGGGGTGAATCCCAGCTCAAGAATATAGTGGCTTTATCTGAACCTCCAGGATACCAGCCAGCACATTTATCTGGATGGTGTTTTAAGCTACATAACCAATACATTCAGTTGCTTGTTGTCTAATCTAGCTGGCATGAATATGACACATGTTTATGCCTTCTAGATGAGACTAGCAATTGAATGTATTTGTTATGTAGTTTAAAATCCTGTTTCTGACAGGCAGCTTGGAAAAGCTGCTGATTCTTTCTCATCCCTTTTTGTGAATAGTTATCAAAGAACAATAGACAGTTGTCTTTACCAGTCTCTGTCTTCCTTAAACTCCCCATAGACTAATAAATACACTTCAAGGTGAAGAAGAATATTTAATAATTTGGAAGATGTAAATAAAAATCATGTTATTTATTAATATTGCTTCTTCGAAAGCTGCCTTTTCTTGTAAGTCTGAGTGACATGACAATACACTTATCATCCAGTACAAAATTAAATATGACAAAGAATGGTAAAATTTGCAGTTGTATGTTGTCAGGAAATGATGTATTTAAATTCTGTAGGTAAGATGGTTGGTAATTTTTTAAAAAGTGAAAAAATTGCATATATTGTAGTACAGATCATGATTCTAATTACTCTTGCCGTGGAAAAGATATGACCAAATTAAATTAATACATAAGAGACTTGTTTCGTTCAGCTCCTGCAGTAACAACTACTGTTCCTTGAAAGACCTTTCTTTTTACAGATCCCCTTATCTGAAAAGGTTTACTGTGTCTTCATGCAAGTAGTTGTCATGCTTTAGAAAAATCACAAGCAGCAAAAAGTCAGAATTGTCAGTTCAGAAGACACTGGTTGTTCCACTGGGTAAAACTGAGAAAGCAATGCTGGCAAATGATCTTTAGGAGGAGGGAAAAAAGCAAAAAGCAAAAAAGAAGGAAACAGCAGCAGAATGAAGATAAAAAGGGTTGCAGGCTTTATTCTCATTGATGGTTGGCAACGGGAAATCTGTTGGAGAAGAAGAAGAATATCGGATAGGTCATCTGTTGTGTAATGAAGAATAGAAGACAGAAGACAAGCTAGGAGAAGCAAGGTGATTCCAAACCTCAGAGGAATGTAAGATCTTATGAGAAAAACATGAAAGCAATACCTTTATAAACTGACCAAATTTAATTTACTATCAACAAGCATTGTAAGACAGCAAGCTGACAAAATCCATTCATAATGTTATGGGTGAAACTGAAGACATGCATTTTTCTCTTGTGGAATCATTTTATTATGTATTCATTTCTTTTTTGAACAGGTCTTCTGATTAAAAATTACCACTAAGATGTCAAATATTCCTTGTCCTATGATATCCAAGCTTAGTTATCCAATATCTTATTCTGACTATCCATCTTCTTTAGTCAAAAGAAAACGTGTTTTCAAAGGACAAACAAAACCAGATAAATATGCTATCATTTATTATGTACCATTTCCAGTGAAACATCTATATTGTGCGGTTGCACATATTACTTAAGAAATACTGTAGTCTTCAGTGTGTTTGTAGCAATTTTTTAAATACTTGGCCTTTATGATGAGTGGATATAATAGCAAACATATTTGTGATTACAAATGGAAATTTAAGAAGTGGTCTGCATGCAGCATTAGTTTGCCTTTAAATTTCTAACACATTTAAGGATGTCATAATTGGATTCTTTATATTGATAAAGGCATTTGGATTAGCTGTAATATCACTGGATTTGCATTTCACTGTTGGAATGCTTTAAGATCCCAATACAAGGCTATGTGTTCTATGACTTGCTGTGCAAAAATGCTAAAGGGACACAGATTACTTTTAAAGGGCTGATTAAAGTATTTTTAAAGAGACGTTCTAATTTTTCCCATCTTTTAAAGCATTGGGTATTTCTGAAGCCTACTTCAAAGTAAATTGTGTCATGTGCTTGTCATTCTACTGTGTATCCTGCCAAATGCATTGAAGGCCAATTTCATATTCACAATTTGTACCTTTGAAACACCCTCCTCAAAAATCCTCCTCAAAGCCCCATGTTCCCCTCTGGGTCCATGCACAGAGAGGAATCTGCACTCTCTGAAAGGAAAAGGAGTACTTGTGGCACCTTAGAGACTAACCAATTTATTTGAGCATGAAAATAAATTGAAAGGAGGAATTCTCGAGATTTGCAGGGTTTGAAGTCTACTTCTGGAGGTGGCAGGGTGGAGGAACTGGCTGAGCTTCTTCAGATTCTCTCCCACACAGGCCTTCAGGGGAAAATAGCACAAGTTAATATAGAAACTGAATTTAACAGAGCCGTATCAATACACTTAGGCTTCGTTCATTTGCACCTCTACACTTTGAAGAGTGGCTAGATTTGTTGGAGGACCTCAAAGGATAGCTCCCACAGGAGCTATGTTCTCCAGTGGTCATCAGGAGACAGTGTGGTCTAGCAGTGAGCAATGGAGATAAGGGGCAAGTGTGACGATACCTGTGGCAAATCCCTGAAATCCACACATCTTGTGAGAACCATGGATTACAGATGTCTTACTTCTGCTGTTGGTAGAATTTGAGATGAGGAGTCATCCCTCTTCCATGCCTGGTGGAAAATGGAAATGAATAGGAAACACATGTGAGCTAAGCCTGTACAGCGGAGAATAGGAACTTCAGTATTTACTCACTGTATTGGACTGAACTAGTATAAACTGAAGGGCTAAGACTCCCTTATCTAGGAATTACCTCTGAAAGAAGGTGCAGGGGTTGAATGCAGATCATAAAACTGATAAAACACAGCAAAGCAAGAGTCTTAGGGCTAAAATAAAATTAAATATAATTTTTATTTGAAATAAGGTAGAGAATTGCCAATACCCATATTCTGATGTTGCAAAGAGATACTGAACTAAAACAAATTTTTAAAAAATTAACTATTATGGCTTAATGTGGGATTTTCTTTTGCAAGAATCATTGTTGTGTCAACACAAAAGAAACATGTTTGAACTTTTTAATTTTATGTAATCATATTGTGGAGATCTAATATAAAAATGATTTAGGCTAAATGGCTTGGTGATCATGCTATATTATATACTTAACTTTATATGCTTTTCCTGCCTTAAAGTAAGAAGATTAAGGATGGCAGGTTTGTTTGTTTTTTGTGTGTGCTATAAATCAGGATTAAAGTTGCGTTTTGTAGTTTGAGCCAGCAAAACTTCCAAATTACTCAGCTCATATTCTCTACTCTCTCACTGTACAGGCTAAAATATTAACAAATAAATTAAAAAAAAAACAATGGGCCTATAGTACCAATAGAAACATCAGAATTTTTTTCTAAGGTGTCTGCATAATACTCCTGCTGTGACAGAAAGAACATGCTCCTTACCTTCATAAATATTGTGTGTTCTCAGTGCTGTTCAGGTCATGTTGTTTTGTTTCAGATGTAGTTGTACTGAATCAGAGAACTTCACCTGCAGCATACCATACATCTAACAAAATCAGTGCCAACATGCTCCTATAATTTTTAAAGGAATGTGATTAAGTTTTCCTTCCTAAAATTCCACTGGGCAATTAATTAAAAATGACAACTCAGTATAGCGTGAGAATGGGAAAATAAAATATACAAAACATTGCCAATGATCAGCTCTTGAAAAATTTACCGGACACGTACTACCCAGGGAACTAGAGTCATCAGTTGATGATACAAAAGATGGGGGTATTCCTGGGTAGACCAGGATGGAGCCCAAAGACCACATTTTCCAATAAAAGTTCTTTAGCAAACTCGTTTGCTAAAACATTTTTGTAAAGGAAGCAACAACCTTTTAAAAAAGAATGTAATTAAATTCCTGGATACTAATCTCAATAATCAAGCATCCTGATGTTTATGTGCCCAGGGAACTCTCATCTCCTGGGGCAAGGTAAATGAGATCCTAATGTTAGAACTGAGGTTTTACCCATCTTCATCGTAGTTCCTCATGTTATTCCTCTCTACCCCTAGCTACTCCCTGCTCCCCACCAACCTTCACTGTGTAACTCTGCATGTGGCCTTTCCTTCTCAGTGGAGATGATGGCCTGTTATAGAACGAGGACTTAAAATGACACAGGCCATCTATATAGTGCTAAGCACACTGTCAGCACTCACTACATTTTAATAATTAATAGTAACTGGATGACCTCACTGGTGACTACATGACATTGGATATACTGGATGACAATACATATGCAATCCATTAATTTAACAGAGCTGGGCATATAATATGTGTGGCACTTGAATACTGACAGCTTTAGAAACACCACATTTGGAAACTAAAGGAGATACAAAATGAATTAAACTTCATGCAAACACTCCGGAGGTTTACAAAGAGTCCTATCTCTAAGTCTACTGTACCATTCACACAAAGGAATTCAGTAATTCAATGTAATTATCAATGATAATTCTAAAGCAGTTGTGCTACTTCAGGATTTTTCAGATTAAGAATGTAATGAATTACTAATATAAATTCTAATACAAAGTTATTCTTAAATATAATTTGCATTCTGGTTTTGAATCTTATGTTTATTGTTAAAGATGTATTTGTTGAAATAGCTTTTCTTGGCGTGTTTGGTGTAAAGATACATGTTTGCTGAAAGTCAAAGTTGTATTAACTGATCTTTTTTGAAAAGGTTTCTTTCTTTTTATCATGAAGAGAAATTGATTCCTCAATGAATGTTTTCTTGCATACCCTAATATTTAATTTTTAATTATCGGCAGCTACCTCATCTAGAGATGTGCACTACATACAGCATAAGTGACAATAACTTAAATTTCATCTGTGTTTAATAGATTTTGCAAATCGTGAGCTGTTCTCATTCCTATTGCAGCCCATTATCCTGCAGCAGGCAAGCTGAGCCACGCTTAATAAGCATGCATAAGTGAGAAAGTCAGGCCTGTTTGCTCGTGATTGCACCACTTCACTTGATTTTCATCCATTCACAATATAAATCTTCCACCTTTTGAACTGTATGCACTTACCCCCTTAATTGTTAACACATCCCTTTTTATTTGTTCCCTTTGCATCCCATTAAGTCTGTGTGACACTGCACATCTGCACCTCAGCATGCATTTTCCGTAGCCCAGTGAATCATTCGAAAGAAGAGATGAGTCCCAGATGTTAAAGAAACGAGGTAGCACTTTTTTGGATTACAGCTGGGCTAAATAAATACTGAAGGTTTTAAGTTTATTTGACAGACCAGATAAGAAAGTCCATTTAGCTATGAGGAGGTGGTGACACCTTTTTTTAAAAATAAAGCCGAACTTTGGAAGGTATTTTGTTAGATGGGGAGAGGAGTTTTATACAACCAGTTAAGACTAAATCCCCAGTTGTTAGATCAGGCAATCTCCCTTCAAATTGCTAAATGAAAATGTTCTGTTTAAGTGCTAAGTGTTGTTTAGGCTCTGTCAGCCAGTATCTGCACCATGGGTACATACTGTCCAGCTTCAGGACTGACTTGCTTGGTTCATTCAGACGTTGCTGGGTGCTGAGGAATTTGGCTCACAAACATAATTCCTTGCCCTCTTACTCTGCTCTTGTTCCCATTCCCTCTTAATCAGCCCTTATGTCTAGTAAGAGTTCCTGAGACACTGAAGTGAGTAGTACAGGAAAAAAAATTTGCCTGCCCAGCTTTTGACTAGTAAGAGATGAGTGATCAGTAGTGGACTGTGTCACTCTACATGTCTCTCTAGCCACAGGATGGCCGTAATATCTTGTGGCGGGCCTGTGAAGCAAAACTTTGCTGCCCCTTCTCAACAAACAGATAGTTCCTGTCATAAGAATATAAGAACGGCCATACTGGGTCAGACCAATGGTCCATCTAGCCCAGTAGCCTGTCTTCTGACAGTGGCCTGTGCCAGATGCTTCAGTGGGCATGAACAGAACAGGACAATTATTGAGTGATCCATCTCTTGTCATCCACTCCCAGCTTCTGTCCATCATGATCATAACATGCACAAGACTGATGCAGGGAATTTGTGGAAATTTATTGGAAAGATTCTTTGCGATGTACCCCAAATTGAACCTTGACTCATTTTATATATAGTATGTGTGAAAACTTCAAAGGTTTCCCAGAGAGAGCTCAGTTGTTTGAGCTCTTCAATTCTAGATACTGGTTTATGTTTTAAAGGCTATCTTTCCAAGAAATTCACTTAAAACAAAAGCTAGGATTCTCTTTTACATTTCTGGGGAGATTTCAGCTACAGGATTCACAAGGGCCAAGTGCTGGCTTGCTCTCTGTCTGCTTTAAAGGTAAACAAAGGTCCAAAATAGAAATCTGAAGAGGTAAAAACTATCCCTGTTGTTTTTTAATTTTTTTGGTCAAAACTTAGATTTTTTTCAACTCACATTGCCCCCACCTCAAAAAAAAAAGTTTTCAATTGAAGTTTTACAGCTTTGGCATGCTACAGTAGAGCTGGCTGAAATTTTTTGATGATTGAAAGATTTCAAGGAATTATTGACATTTTAAAAAAATTCATAAAACGAGAAAATTTTCAAAAATTTCCTGTGAAATTAATAACTGTTGTGTTCTTTTTTAAAAACAGCTCTACTTCAAAACATATGATCAAAGATGGAACTAAAAGAAACCAGGTAAAACTTCAATATTGGAATTGCACTAGGTCTATGTCTCAGGCTTAAAGCTTGCTAGCAGGAAGGTTGTTGGTTAGAAAATACAGAAAATGAGGCTATGTAGGTAGAAGAGAGACTTCCTCATGAATCATCTCTCTGGCTTCAGATCCCTCCCTCCTGTTGTAGGTTGGAACATTGTTTCTCTCTCTCTCTCTCTCTCTCTCTCTCTCTGGCTAACTAAATGTACGGGCTCATCTTTACAGGATGTACTATACTGTTAAACAAAACATTTTCTCCTCTAGTCAAGACAGATAAATCATTTTAAAGGATCTCTGAGAGCTGTGAATTGTGAGTCAGTGGGGTGGGAGGAGGTATTGTTTCATATTCTCTGTGTATATATAAAGTCTGCTGCAGTTTCCACGGTATGCATCCGATGAAGTGAGCTGTAGCTCACGAAAGCTCATGCTCAAATAAATTGGTTAGTCTCTAAGGTGCCACAAGTACTCCTTTTCTTTTTGCGAATACAGACTAACACGGCTGTTACTCTGTAATCTAGAGCTGTGAATTGTGAATCTTGTAAACCAGGCAAAACTCATGTTTTGGGCTGTCGGACAAATTGAAACTTGTTGAGATTCAATGACCCTGTAGGTAAAGCTATGGGAGTGTGAAGCTTGAGCCACGGAAACTTAGGGTGATTCACTAGGTTTCCTGTTGCCTGTCTGGGAATCAACATCAGCTAGAGCAGTGCTACTCAAAGTGGTGGTCCACGGACTGTTGCTGGTCCGTGAGCCATTGGCTGCCTGTCTGCGTGCACATTGGGGAAAAAAAATTGCCGGTCCCCCATATCAGATAGCTTGGGAAGCACTGAGCTAGAGGGCCTGACTCACTCCTTATGTGAAACTGATTTGTGAGAAAGTAGGGAGGGACACTTTCGACTGAGGCAATCTATTACAAGGAAACCCCATTAGAGGTACAAGTTGAAGGGAACTTCTTGTCATCTGGCTGTGTGGGTTGTTTTAAGACACTTTTTTCTAAATGTTCACTTAGTTGTAAAACAGATAAAGTGCTAGTGGAGCCCTGTGTGTAATAATGGCCTGCATAGCGTAACGCCAAGACAGGAAATCAGGAAAACAATTATGAAAGTATTATTTCCTCAGTAGTAGCTTGCTGATAATTTACAATTGCAGTTTAAGCTATTGTCCTGCTAAGAGGTGGCATTTAACCTTTAATACTCATTTTGTGTAGAAACAAAACAAACAAACAAAAACAAAACCCCAAATACCACACCCCCCCATTTTTGTATTATTTAAGATAGCAAAAAGAATAGCGCTGAGGTAGCAAAGTCTAGATGTTGTTCTCATATACATATAGAATTGGGTCCTCACCAGATTCCCAGATCTGAAAACTCCAGAAATTGGAAGTACTCAAAATGTACAATCAATACAGTTTTCATAGCATGAGCCTGCAGATCTACTGTGCACTTGGATGAAGTCAGTGAGAATTTTAGGCCTTATGTGTCACTGCATGTCATGTAAAAGCATCTGTTGTTGCTGATTTGTACTTTTCCTTCCCCTTTCTTCAGCAGGGGGATTGGAAAACAATCTCCTTTTGTGCCACTTTTCCTGGTCCTTACACATTTTAGGCTCAAGGACCCCTGCCGTTTGTTGGAGTATTGGGAAAGCATTTTAAATTAAAATGTTTTTTTTTGGTAAATAATATGCAGTGTCATATGCTGTGAATCTGACCCCCAAACCACCCCCCCCCCATTCAAGCACCGTTGCTTAAATTGGAATATACAATTACTGCTCATTGTGAAACTTCATTTCTGTGATTTTTTTAAAAAAAAAATCCCTTTGTGTTATACAGACTGTTGTTACATACTGGATTATATTAG